TAAAAAGAAATAAAAAAGACAGGGAGATATGAATCATTTTGTTTTTTCATCCTAAGGATACTTTCTCGGAGAAATGAATTTTTCTCAGCAGAAATGTAAAATTTTCCAGGAGAAATTGTTCATCCATTTCTCTCTTCACGTGGAGAAGTCAAAAAGTGTTAGAGTGATATGGATCATTTTCTTTTTTCGCCTTAGGGACAAGTGCTAGTAGAAATAGATTTTTTTTCGGTAGAAATATAAACTATTGAAGGAGAAATTATTTATGGATTTCTACCTTTACAAGTGGAAGTAAAAAAGACTTAAGCAGGTAGCAATTGTGTTACGCGTTCTGGCCTAATGATAAGTAGGAGGAGGAATAAGTTGGTTCCTAAGGAATGCGTTTCATGTAAGAAATATTACAGGCTTTTCTGCTGTGACTGGCAGAAATGGAAATAGCTTTGGTACATTGGAGACTTTTTTAAATTTAGTTTATGAAAGAAAAACTGAAATCTGTTATTTATAATTGTAAAATAAGGATAAATGTATTAGAGGATTGGCTTGCAATGAATCTTTATTGAAGAAAAATGGAGAACAACAAATAATGGATAGATTGACATGATCGGTGAACCAGAGATGTCCATCGCGGTTGAAAACTGACCGCTGCCGCGCCGCGACGATAAAAGAAAAAAGCTAACGCGCCGCTACCGCACCGCGGTGATAAAAACAGAAAACCTACCGCGACGCCACCAAAAATAACCATGCCGCGACCGCGCCGCTGCCGCGATGATAGTTAGAATAATGTTGTGAATTTTACGATCTGTGACTGTTCAGGACTAGAGCTGTTGTTACCAATCGATAAGATTCGTTGAATCTCATAGTTTTGCACTTGCAAACATTGAAATTCTGTTTGAATTCATGCATTTTTGCATTGTTCTCCAAAAAAACCTACCGCTGCCGCGATAGTTAGTTAAAAAAACGACCGCTGCCGCGCCGCACCGCGATGGTTATTTGAAAAAAACAACCGCTACCGCGCCGCCACCGCCACAGCTGGTAGCGGCAGCGGTCGCGCCGCGATGGACATCTCTGCGGTGAACCTTCCACACCACATAACACGGTTCGCTTAATATGTTTAACATATATATGTATAGAGGGCGGGGGACATGAAGTGAGAGATATATGAAGAAAAGAAAGACATGATACAGGGTGCATAACAGGGGAAAAAGTGAGTGTAATCATGAATGATATCAGAAAAGAAAGAAAAGAAAAGCGATGAAATGATCTAGGTGAAATGTGAATCAAGTGAAAGGCGGTGCGTGTAACAAAATGAAATGTTTAGTTTATAAATATAAAATGTAACGAAATCTTTATTTTGTCAGAATAAAGATGAATAAATTGTGTATTTTTGAAGATGAAAGATGAATTCGAAAAGAAAGAAAGATTTCTGTTTGTGATAGGTAGATAGATAAATCCTTAATATAAGAGCAGGATATGTTTATCAACTTTTTTGCCTTCCATTGGATGTAGTTTTGTACGTGATGTTGTTAAAACATGTGGATGAAATATGAAAAGATGTGTACATAAAAGCTTATGCGTATANCGAGAGATAAAAAGAGAAAAATGAGATAAAAAGATGAACCGACAAAATTGACTAGTCATTTCTTGTGATAGTGATACGAAAAAACAAGATGGTAAATAGTAATAACTGGATAAGTTTTAATTCTTTTCCGTATCATTATTACCGTCTAGTTTCTCATAAATTTTGGTTCTTCAGCCGTCTAAGTTTTTCTTGAATTAGTTGAATTTTTCTTTTAATTGGTTGTTTAGCGTTATATAGGATTGGATCCCATGCTTCACGGATGTTATCGTATTGGTTGATTGAGTGAATGACTTTCGAATGTATTGTTTCCGAGGGCTGGACAATATCCTCCAAAATCGAGAAATTGTTCCATTTACAGCAGAAAAGCTTCACCCCTCACAAAGTGAAGACGAAATGCTTTATAAAAACAACCACAGCCGTTATATCAATACACTTTTCAAGCAGAAATTCTTGATCCATTTCTCCCTCCACAAGGAGAAGTCAAAAAGACTTAGAGAGATATCGATGATATTCCCTTTTCATTCTAAGGAGATTTTCTAGTACAAATGGATCATTTTCAGAAGAAATTTAAGATTTTCAAGGAGAAATTGTTCATCCATTTCTCCCTTCACAAGGAGAAGTTCAAAAAGACTTAGAGAGATATTTTTTGACTATAAGAAGAAATTCTAGTAGAAATGGATATTTTGCAGCAGGAATAGAAAATTTTTCACCAGAAATCTATAATCCATTTCTACTCTCACAAGGAGAAATGTATAAGATATAAGGAGAAATCGATCAGATTATCCTTATAGTATTATCAGAAATGTATAAAATTATTTTTTCACTATAAGGAGAAATTCTAGGAGAAATGGATATTTTCTAGCAGAAATACAAAGTTTTTCAGCAGAAACCTATAATCCATTTCTACCCTCACAAAGAGAAATGTATAAGATATGAGGAGAAAGCGAATAGATTATTCTTATATTATTGTCAGAAATGAATAAAATTATTTTTTGACTATAAGGAGAAATTCTAGCAGAAATGGATTTTTTACAGCAGAAATACAAAGTTTTTCAGCAGAAACCTATGATCCATTTCTACTCTGACAAGGAGAAATGTAAAAGACATAAGGAGACATCGAACAGATTGTTCTTATAGTATTATCAAAAAATGAATAAAATTATTTTTTCACTATAAGGAGAAATCCTAGGAGAAATGGATATTTTACAGCAGAATTGCAAAATTTTTCAGCAGAAACCTAGAATCCGTTTCTACCCTCACCAGGAGAAATGTATAAGATATAAGGAGAAGTCGATCAGATTAGTCTTACGATATCAATGGAAAGGAATAAAATTTCTTTAAGGAGAAATTCTTGATCCATTTCTCCCTTCATAAAGAGAAATCAAAAAGACAGAGAGATATGAATCATTTTGTTTTTTCATCCTAAGGATACTTTCTCGGAGAAATGAATTTTTCTCAGCAGAAATGTAAAATTTTCCAGGAGAAATTGTTCGTCCATTTCTCTCTTCACATGGAGAAGTCAAAAAGTGTTAGAGTGATATGGATCATTTTCTTTTTTCGCCTTAGGGACAAGTGCTAGTAGAAATAGATTTTTTTTTTGATAGAAATGTAAACTATTGAAGGAGAAATTATTTATGGATTTCTACCTTTACAAATGGAAGTAAAAAAGATCTAAGCAGATAGCAATTGTGTTACTCGTTCTGGCCTAATGAGAAGTAGGAGGAGGAATAAGTTGGTTCCTAAGGAATGCGTTTCATGTAAGAAATATTACAGGCTTTTCTGCTGTGACTGGTAGAAATGGAAATAGCTTTGGTACATTGGAGACTTTTTTAAATTTAGTTTATGAAAGAAAAACTGAAATCTATTATTTATAATTGTAAAATAAGGATAAATGTATTAGAGGATTGACTTGCAATGAATCTTTATTGAAGAAAAATGGAGAACAACAAATAATGGATAGATTGACATGACCAGTGAACCTTCCACACCACACAACACGGTTCGCTTAATATGTTTAACATATATATGTATAGAGAGCGGGGGACATGAAGTGAGAGATATATGAAGAAAAGAAAGACATGATCCAGGGTGCATAACAGGGGAAAAAGTGAGTGTAATCATGAATGATATCAGAAAAGAAAGAAAATAAAAGCGATGAAATGATCTAGGTGAAATGTGAATCAAGTGAAAGGCGGTGCGTGTAACAAAATGAAATGTTTAGTTTATAAATATAAAATGTAACGGAATCTTTATTTTGTCGGAATAAAGATGAATAAATTGTGTATTTTTGAAGATGAAAGATGAATTCGAAAAGAAAGAAAGATTTCTGTTTGTGATAGGTAGATAGATAAATCCTTAATATAAGAGCAGGATATGTTTATCAACTTTCTTGCCTTCCATTGGATGTAGTTTTGTATGTGATGTTGTTAAAACATGTCGATGAAATATGAAAAAATGTGTACATAAAAGCTTATGCGTATATTTCATTTGTATGTGTGATACTGCAGCTTTTTGGAGGCATCTATATCGAAATAAAAGTACAGATTTTCAGGAAAAGAATTCTATCTTTATTATTTAATTGGTCTGTAGTGTTTAGAAACAAAGAATTCGCTTATCTTTATTTTATCAGATAAAGAATTTATATATCTTGTGTTTAAAGAATAAAAACGTTTTCAATGATCTAACTGTATTCTGTAAATGTAAATATTCTCTCATGTCTTTTCTTCAATAGAAGAGAAGAAGAAAGTTAAATTAATAGCGCTGGTAAACACCGATGACTTTGCGTTTCAGTCTGATGATATGTGGATAGCAATGCTGCTGATTTATAAGGAATGACATTTTAGTTCAAGCAATTTTTTCTTTTCATTTCTGCTTCAAAAATCATTTCTCCTTAAAAGAAACGATTTCTGCTTCAAAAAGCATTTCTCCTTAAAAGAAACAATTTCTGCTTCAAAAAGCATTTCTCCTTAAAAGAAACGATTTCTGCTTGAATCCAAATGCATGTAGAAGAACAGAAAAAGATACATATGTGTTTATATTCGTTCTTTCCATTTCTCCTTGACATGCATGACTTTATGTGGGGTGAAGGATTCTCTATAAACGGGAACAATTTCCCCATCGACTGGTCCAATTGTCCACTGCTGTTGTTTCCTTTATTTTTCGCTTCCAATAATCTTTTTCTCGTTCTAACATCAATGCTTGATCAGTATCAAATAAGCATTGCTATTTTGTTGCTTGATAATATTGTACCATGTCAGATTTTGTATCTTCATCATTGCTGATTAATTTAAAATGTTGTTTCATTCTATTTTCAGCTCCGACTTTTGTCTGTCCGACATAAGCTTTTTCACATGAACAAGGTATTTGATAAATAACAGGTTTTGAAGGTGGTTTTAAAGTTCGATTAAAATAGGATTGTATTTTAGCTGAGTATGAAAAGTATAATTCAATTTTTAAGTCTGTTTCAAGCTTTCTTTTAAGGACTTCCAAATCTGGAACATAGGAAAGACTAAGACTGTATTTGAAATCTTGATTATTTTTATCGTTTTGATTCGTCGTTGCTGTAGATTTGTTTTCATTATTCATACTTTTACAGTCTTGTTTTAATAATTTGTATATTCCTTTTGACGGGTAACTTGAATTAATTAGAATTTTCTTCAACTTCAGTAGGTCTTTTCTTTCTACTCTTCGTTATCTTTTCTTGTTTGTGAAATTTTTGTTAGCATGTTTTTGACGATAGTTGTTGTGATGGATTAGCTGTGACTTGATTCATAATTTAACAGGGGTATGGGTATGGGGTGTAGGCGTAGGAAAGACAGATACTCACACTTACACCCACACCTTTGATATTTATCTCTCGAACAAAATGATACATAGAACTCTGCGTTGCGTTATTTCTTAGCTAAGTACTTTGGGTTCGAATGCAGAGTGCAAAAAGCAGTCCTATCGAAATTCCAATAATTCTAGCGAAGGTACGGTGGTTGAATGTTACTTTTCAACTATTTTGGTTTAGAAATCAGCGTTTATGACAGTCTTTAGAATAAAGCTCCCTAGTTCTTGATGTCAATTTCCACAGGTCTAGAAAAATATCTGTTTCGTACAGTCTGACGACTGTGGCAATTGAATTCAATTTCACATATAGACGGACCGCAGACAAATACATGTACTGATATAGTTGATTTTCATATTATGCAGAATATATGAATTGCCGAAATCTATCGAGCAGCTCAATTCGGACAGATAATTCTTCAAATTTGATCGAAACTGTTTATAATTTCTCATTTGGTTGTATTTACCTTTGCGCAGACTTAACGCTCTTCTGTGTGTCTTTTACCTTGTTGGCTAAAAAAAAGTTTAATATGAAACAATTCGTTTTCAATATTGCTAACAATTAATGGAGAATGTGAGAATAGTCGTTATTCCTCTTGTTACAATGCTCATACGCTACGCACACTCGAAAGAGTAACAATGTCGAACGTTAAATTCACGAGCATCAAATGGAATCGAAAAATGAGATGATGTATTTCCAGCAGAGCACAGCACACAGCACACAGCACACAACACACACACTGATGTTTTTTTTAAAGAACCAAAAAATAAGAGAGCAAGAATAAGCTGATTCTTGACAACATACGAGAGAATAAGCAGCGTTGTGAAATATTGATACTCTATGATTCATCAACGAGTTTCTATTTCATATTTTTAAGACGGTCTGCTTTTGTATAGCTGCATCAATCGCGATAATCGATAAGGTGATATTAAAAGAGTATGCAAATTTTCAGTCGATTTCAGTAATAAAAGTAAGAGGACGCAAAAGCAAAACACAACACTCAAAAAGTAATCATGGCGAATGAAAAGAAGAAAGAAAATTCAAATCTAAATGTCCTTCAAGACAATGTCGATCAACTTGAAACTCGTTATGAAAAATTACGTGTAGACATCATTTCAAAATTAAATGAATACAGTAATTGTATTAAATCAGCTAAGCAACTATGTCATCAAACAACAGAAATAAATACAATCTCAGAAGACAAATTAGTTAATACGTCAAATGAAGAAGAAGAATGGAAAGATATCAAAGCTAAATTAGCAACAACATCGATTCAAGGTAAAGTTTTACTTGATGTTGGAGGCGAGAAATTTTCTACGAGTGTTGAGACATTAACACGTGAAAAAAATACATTCTTCACTGCACTCTTCTCTAAACAATGGCAGCTCGAAAGAGATCCTAACGATAGAAGTATATTTATCGATCGTGATGGAAAATTATTCAACTATATCCTAGCATATTTAAGAACGAATAAAGTATCCAACGATGTATGGAACAATGATTCACTTCATCAACTTCTTATTGCGGAAGCCGAGTATTTTCGTTTACATAATCTGATAGATATATTAACGGATGTACTGTTTCCTAATGGAACATTACTACAACAAGAACATAAGAAGAAACTAAACGAATTTTATAGTAAGACCAATCAAAAATGGGTATTGATTTACAAAGCATCATGTGATGGATTCGATACAAATGCATTTAATTCGCGTTGTAATAATCAAGGACCAACAATGACAATTATTCAATCAAAGAATAATTATCTTTTCGGAGGTTATACAGCTATTCCATGGGCTTCAGATAAGTATGCATACAAGAATGATGCTACAGCATTTTTATTCACTTTAACTAATCCTCATAATATTCCACCAACTAAATATATCATCAATCCTGACAAGACAGGATACGCAGTTTATCATCACCATGGTTCTGGTCCTACATTTGGAAGCGGTCACGATATTTTCTTGACAAATGCTAGTAATTCGAACATTTTAAACTACACTGAGTTCCCTGGATCATACCTCGATACAACTGGAAAAGGTAATACTACATTTACTGGAGGTCGAAATTTTACTGTATGTGACATTGAAGTGTTTAAATTAGCTTAATTTATTTTTCATGCTGCTAATGCTTAACGTTCATTAAAGAAAAAATGTTTGCTTACGATTATCTTATTTTCAAAAACATATTTAATTGAGAAACCATCAGAGCGAGTGACTATATATATGTATTTCATTCTTTGTAAAATATATTCCAAAAAACCTGATCGTATTGAGCTAAAATATGATTCATCGACACTGAAATTAAGAAAGACGATCACTTGACTCGATTGTGTTGACAGTAGACGGCTAACATTACAAGGGAATACTTGTATTAGAAAGTCATCGACTATAGAATTTGACTTACATTTTTCACAAGTTTATGAAACATACAAGAAACTTGCTTGATGTACTTACGAGGGAACCTCCCGAGGTGTCCAACGCCGATTCTCTTCATTCGTACGTCGTTTGATAGAGGGTATCGAGATAGCAAAAAGCCTAAAAGGATTTGGGCTGACAGCTCTTCCTTGAAAAGTTATGGTCGTTTTACTGATTTTTCGACCTATACCTAGGTATTTAACGAGAAAATCAAGTTACGGAATTTTGACCTGAAATTTTACCCATATTTAGAACNCGATTGAAACAAAGTTGATCACTGTATTCGATAACTTGTCATCGGAATTGATGTTATGCATTTTTGAATATCTGTCTGCGGTTGATCGATATAAATCCTTTTTCGGCTGCAATACCCGTCGGAGTCAGCTTGTTATACGATGGACGCCATACAACCGAAAACAACTTGATGCTGATATAGAACGATTTTCGACACTGCATAGCTGGTACAAGCATTTGCAGTTCATAGATGGTGGCACTAAATTTATTATATTTCCTCAGAAAGGTGAGCAACCTCGTAACAGCATTGATCTGAGTATCACTGATACTGCCGGTCTACATTGGTTCTTTCTTCAGATTTACGACCAGTCAATAATTGCTGATGAACGTGTTCGTAAAATCCTTGTTCGCCACTCATTTCGACTTAACCCATTCTTCTATCATGAAGAAATGCATAGTAGCTCGAGTTTTAAGATCGATGGCAAGCAATCATCACGTACTTTCTAAGGTGGCCACATAATTTCTATGGATCGGTATCGAGAAAATTTTGAACCATGGATCAGAAACAATTATCCTGAATATGCTGATCGGATATCAAACAATTCTTCTTGATCATCTTGTAATATTGATGAAGCATGTGCACCTATCTTCGAATTAGAATGGTTGAAAGCAGTACGAGTTATCCGAGATGCGGCTCATCAAATCTGGGATGAACTGAAACAGTTCGAAGATATCAATCCATTTGAAATTTGACAGATCTATTATTAGCAAAAATGTCAATTTCGAGATATCAAATTTTCATTGTACTATGAACAATACAATTTGGCATCAATTCCTTTTCTTTTTTCTATTGTGAAACACTACATATAATTAAGAGTGCTTTGCTATACAGGGAAAATTGGAATATAGACGGCATTTTTTTATGTTTTCTAATATTATTTTTGTCAAAAAAACTCAACTGGAATCTACTGAAAAGTCAAGCGTCGAATATACAACACAGCCGCTTAAACGAAATGGACGAGGACATGGTACAAGGATCACTAATTATAGCAAAACTATGTATTAAAAAAAATATGAAATAGTATGATAGAAAAAAATAGAGTGAGTTGGTGTAAATGTCTAAAAAAGCTTAATGGATCTCATAATAATGATGTTATTTTCTTTTATTTTTCATTTTTTCAGAAGCTTTTCTTCGCAAGAAACCTAGATGATTACATTCTGTGTCAATTGATGAAATATATTTCTCAAAACCTTTTGAGTACATCTGTCTGCAATGTGCTTTTTGAGCACTACTTTCCAATTATACATGTACTCTGTTTGAAGTGAAAGTATAATCGTGCTGATGTTAGTCAAGTAAATATATAAATTTAGTCGCTATGTATATATTTATCACAACGTAGTCTTTAGGGAATTGTTACATTGTTTTTGATGATTGTTTTCATCATTATACAACCCAAAGTCGTTCCCATCATTTTAAAATAATCACAAGATTATAAGTAAATATCGTGTTCTTTTTTCCTATAAAGCTTGAAACAGATCTCCAAAAGATAGTTTTGTATACACTTACTCTATGCGGAGTAATTGTATAGTCGTCATTTTTTTTTGTAGATAAAATGTATGATCTCTGTAGAATTAGCTGGACGCACTAAAACTCAAGTTTTAAAAGATTTATAAGAAGGTTTGACATGCTTTGAACAACAAACCTATTCATAATGATGAGTTTAATACTCAAAATGAATTTCATAAATTGAATTTGAATTTTTATATGTAGTTTTGTCTGTAATATCCGAGTGAAATATCAGATTTAATTTTGAAATGACTAGTTTTGAAGTGAATTTTACTGATATTATGTTCGATATGATCCTTCATACATCCTCAAAGTTAAAATCTATTTTGTTGCACTTTAAGTTCTGAATTATCACGAAAGGTTTTTCTGATTAGCTACACTCTTTAATTACCTTAGTTTTTATCATAATTTGAATTGCATTCAGTAATTCAACTTAGTTCTCAAGATAAAACAAAATCGAATGACTATTGCTTACAATACAATTTGTAATAATGGGCTATCGTTTTTGACAATTACTTTAAGTTTGTATCTGAAA